GTATCGATGCATCGATACAAAACGATTATTATTTACACCCCTAGTCTTCACATACCCAGATTTACAGAGAATTAAGCTAATATTTCTGACTACGCTGATGTTGTCAGCTTTAAAACATCAGAGCAGCTTTATGGAAATATTAAACTGTGATCTCGTGTTCTGGTCCAAAGTTCTGCACCTAGAATCACTGGAAGTAAAGCTGCTGTTCATCAGACGGTTTGTTCGTCTGAAACCACCTCAGCTCCTCCAGCCCTTGATTACTCCACTGATTCACCCCCTCTGCTTATTTTTCCTGCCGGTTCTGGCCGTTGGCGGCTTTGTGCCGGCTGTAGTACATGTGAGAGTGTGGGAGTTCATCACAGCCGTTCCTTTCAGAAGAGGCCCTTCACTCATTGAGTCATTGAGACGCTCGATGAGCTCCTTCTTCTCTCCACTTTCTCCCTCCTTTGTGCAAAACTCCCGTGACTAATATTGTGTTCACGCTGGATTCAGTTTGAGCAGGATGACTCATATCCCCATTATTTGGTGATTTCTGTAACCGTCGCCCCTAATGTGTGGATTTTTGGAAAGTTTACAGCCCTGTGAAAATTCACCATCACCTCAAATTGTGAAATTTCTGCATCTTTACCTTCAGTTCAATCACTTCAAGCCAGATTTCTTCTATATCTGTCTTTAAATAACATTAATCTTAATGGAAGTGTAGGAAAGCATGGATTGATGCACAGAGTGGCTTCATGATCCCTCATTCAGTCTAAGTCAGACATCCAGCCATAAATCCATGTTTTTCTTTGCAGATTTCCCCACTGAGCTCCTCTGTGCTTCATATAACTGGAAATGACGCGTATTCCATTTCCCACAATGAAGTGGATAGTCCCCGCTGAATGAGGCGCTCCGATTTACTTGTTTTTGTGTAAAGAAATATGAATGTGGCTGTTGGTGAGTCACACTGGGCCATTTTCTTGTCTTTTGGAGGAGCTGTCAGCAGCTGCCTATTCAGGCTTTACATCACTCTGTGTACTGATGATGACTAATGCACTCCTACTAATGCTGCTGCCTGGATAAGACTAAATCTGAATGGATGGCTCTCCTCCTTCAGTGAGGCTTTGAATTGAAACGTTCACTTAGAAAACAGCCTGTTTACTGAGGTTTGCTTCACTGAGGTAAATTACTTTCCTTCTAGAACGTCCCTTATTCAGCGTATAGTTTCATTAACATTCATAATCAATTCATAATCTCGTTCAGTGCTTCTGTTCTTTAGTTTGATTTTGGACCAGTTTGCTACTGGTCAGATCTGCAACATTAGATCATTTGATAGACATCAAACTGGACAAAAGCATTTATTATCTGTACATCTATTACTGTGATCATTAGTTGGGTTATTGGCGTCTGGTGTGAATATATAAGAACTGAAACTCCCAACAAATGGATAAATATTACATTTAATTCAACACAATTAAATTCAGTTCACAACACTTCATCTCACTTTGCAGAAACATTTAAATCAAATCATCCGCTCAGATTAAACCTTTTCTAAAGAAGAGCAGGCTTTACTCCTCCTGGACTGCAGCAACCCTTCAAACCAATCATGCATGCAGTGACAGTGGAGAGAAAAAAAAACACCATTTTTAACAGGTAGAAGCCTCCAGCAGAACCAGGCCCTGTGTGAGCTGCCAGCTTTATAGTTTCGCTCCATTATCTGTCTGAATCCCGCTCACCAGAGCTGCTCCATGTTTATCGCACGTATACAGAGTTGTTTCAGCTTGTTAGATCAGAAGCGACTGGCGCGGTGTGATGACGTCCGTACGTTGCATTCAATGGTGTCACGTAGTTTAGCTGGTCGGCCCAGCTCTAGTTCCCACAGCATGCGGATCAAAACCGAGGTTCATTTTAACGCTGGTCGCTTGCCGAGTCCTGTGACCCTGGTAGACATGCGTCAGTGATCTGTTCCCACTGCTACTAAAATCTGATTGTTCCCGGATTTGAACAGGTTTTTCTGCCAGTGGGAAAGTGGTAATAGTTGGGTCAATACCCTGACTTTTACTTAGCTTAACAGCCACAGAAACTGTTTTTAAACACAACTCAAATCAGTATGGACATCTATGCTAAACTTTGGATTGTTTGTTGCAGCCCCAATAGTTAGGAACATCATCCAGGTCAAAGTCATCCTAAAGAATGAAAAAAAAAAAAGTATAACGTCAACATAAAACTTAATTATCATAATTTTCAGCCAATCAGTAATCAATAGAATACATGAAATATACACGTTCCTTCGCTCATATGAGTTTTTTTAATTGAAAAGTTGATTCATTTTTTCGATAGGGTTTTCAACTAAATGTAATTATTTACAGACCATGTGACTAAAAAATTGTAATCCTGTCCGACATCTAGTTTTGAATGAAACAGAAAAACCATCGAGGAATTACATTATTTCTGTTCATGCATTTGAAACATCCTGATGTGCTTAAATCTGGTTTCATAAACTTCTAGAAAGGTGTATGCTTCTGTAACCTCTTAGCAATGAGGGGATTCTCTGTAGAACAGGAATCATTGAGAATTCATAAAGTTTTAAATTCATTTTTCTATGGGGGGGTGAATATCTTTGGTGTAGATAGCTGTACTATGTAGCTCAACAATTAAATTCAGTTTATTTCTATAGCGCCGGTTCACAACACATCTCATCTTAAGGCACTTTCCAGTTCACCAGATCATCCAGTCAGATTGATTCACAGTTTTCTATCTAAGGAAAACCAGTTGATTGCATCGACTCATTGACTCGAAGCTAATCTCTCACACCAAGCATGCTTGTATTGACAGTGGAGAGGAAAAACAAATTTTTAACAAGAAGAAACCTCCAGTAGAACCAGGCTCGATGTTGAACCAGAACCGACTGAGGTTCAAGGAGACAGAAGCAGAGATACAAAAAACAGTTGTAAAAGGCGGCCCCGTCCAGGAAACACCCAGCCAGGCAGACAAGCTCCGAGCCAGCTCCCATGTCAGAGGATGAAGAGAGCACATCCAGT